CGAGGGAAAGCGACGGGACCTCCGGTGTTGGCGGTGGGGCGTTTGTGTTTGGCCGCGAAGGGCTCGCGGGGGCGGCGGAGGGAGTGCCCGCGCATTTCCAGAGAAGGCGCCGCCGAGTCCGGTCGCGCCTTAAGAGTTGCTTCGAAAAGTGTCTTCCAGGAAGGACGAGGGGAGGGGGGGGAGAGGTCCACGCACAGGGAGGGGGTGCGCTCGAATGGGCGCCCTGCCTTGTCCCTCGAAATGTGAATTTAAAAAAATAGAACCCCCTCAGTAGCCTTGCGGTCCCCGGTCGGGGCGTAGAGCAGGGAGGACCAAACAGGCTGCGCCTGTCTCTCTTCGCAAACCTGGAAGGCGGCGGTGTCAACATTCCGCTGGAAGGCGAGGGCATCATCGCAGCCCCTAAAAGGAGGAGGCGTTGCTCAGACCCTCCGTTGCATAGCTGCACCCCGGCGTGGGGTTTTCCCCGTGGCTGGCAAGGAGCCCAGAGGTCAGTAGATCGGCGCCTTTTCCCCATCACTTGTATGAACTTGCAGCCTCCGGTGAGGTGGGATGCGCGAGCGCCTGCAAACTTGCTTCTTTTCCCTCACCTACTAAGTTAACGCATTTCTCGGCTTTATGACGGCGTATTTCAGGCTGATGTTTCCCTTAAGCCTTAGGAATGTGGGCTTCTTTAATTTGAAAATGGCCAGGTTAGAGTTTAATTCCGTGTAAAATCGAAACATGAACCAATAAATTGCAGCACAATCTTTAAAAGACTCGCCTTTTCTTTTCTTATATAGTTAACCTGTGTTCTGCAAGAAGAGGAGCAACGCGTACAGTCTTCTGAACCCTGCAATGAAAGATTTGATGTCCTTAGGTGGAATTAACATTCGATATTTACGTGTGTATTCTAAAAACCCATCACTGAGTAAAACGCGGGGGATAACGTTGTTGGGCTGGAACTCCAATTAAGCCCTAATGAGCACAGTTAAGGATAACGGAGATTGAACTTCCACATCTGGAGAGGTAGAGTAAGACACTGATCATCCTGGATCAAAAGCCAAACCCAGTAAAAAGATGAATTTGCTATTCAGCTGTTGTGACTTTCAGATGTTTAGATCTATATGTACTAAAGCCATCAATCTTATTATTAGTTACATTTGTGTCCCACCCTTCCTCCTGTGAGCTGATGGTACCATACATAGCTGTCCTGTTCATGGCTCTATTCTAAAAACAAACTTGCAATGTAGGTCACTTCAAGAGAGAAAATCCCCAAAGTCTCCCAGTGAATTTCATACAGTACCTCAGTGGCAAATAAATCCTTGCTCACCAAATCCCCAGTACGACTTGCTACCCCCAAAGTTTTGTGAATACAGCATACACCATGTTGAACTGTGAGAATAAAGTGCACAGCACAACTGGATGGTATGAAAGTTTATTCCCAGTGTTTTAAACAGTGTTGTGGGGAGGACACACCCTCAGGTTGCATTCTTATGCATACCTATTAAGAGGTGAACTCCACTGAATGCTTCAAAGAAAAAGAATCATAGGCTGCATTCCTAAGCACACAAAAAATAGGAGACTGCCCCATACTGAGTAAGATCCATAGATCCTGTCACAATAAGCCTTTCCCAAGTATTACCCTTCAGATGTGCTGGATTACAGTCCCCATAATCTCCAAATGGCTGGGGATTTGTAGTCCCAACACATCTGAAGGGTACCAGCTTGGGAATTGCTAGCCTACAAAAACTGGCACTGACTGTTAGCCGCTCTCTAGATTCTGAAATCCTAAAATCATAGGCCACAATGCTGGAGATTGAATCAAAATCTCCTACAAGCAAATTATGTCTTCCACTACTGAGCTGTTCTCTCCCTTTCTGCTAAGGATGCTGCACACAGGGTTCTTGCATCCACAAACATGTTGCTCAGTCCATGAGTAGAAACATTTGCACCAGAAGCCAGTTCTGGCATAAAGTTTGCTATTTTGAATGGATGGGCTTCTGGATTTACTCAGTTCAAATGTGGGAGGATTTTGTCAGATTGTGTTGAGGTCAAAAATAATTTGAAGGTGATCCCATTAGTAGAAAGAACATTGCAGTTCCATCTTCAGCTTACTAAGCCTGTGACTACACAATCAAATACCTACCTCAGGATTTGCTGTCATTATAGTAAGGGTCAGTGCAGAGTTTTTTTCTTCTGATTACATGATATGAAGGTTGATTCAAATCAGTCTAGCTTTTTTTTTTTTGCTCCCAACATTGTGTGTGTGTGTGTGCGTGCGTGCGTGTGTGCATGTCTGTGTGTGTACATGTTTTATCCTTTGCCATTGGGGGCTTCTACTTTTTTCAAACCAAAACAATTCAAACAGACTTTTGCTTGTGTGTTCAGTTTATTCATTCTTGTAAAGATGGGCATATCTGTGGGTGATGTTTCAGCGATATAAGCAGTTGGGACATGGATGTTGAGGACCGTGGAAACACCTGTTCTGCATTCTTTTCCCCCAATTATCCAATATTTAATATTTTTTACATACATTAGAGTAGCAGTAGATCATCGTATCACCTTATCACTAGTACTGATGTACTAAATTAGTATTATATCACTTCCAGATGAGAGGGGGAATTAAAATTATAAATAAAACAGAAACAACCCAGAAGAATTTTTTTTTAAAGTTCCTGTGGTATGTAGTATTTCTGTACACATTAAAAAGAATTTTGGAATGCTGCCACCTTTTCCAGAACACTGTACAGTATAACACTTTCAAAACCAAACAACTTGACAATGAACACAAAAGGATTGGCAGAGGCAGGACTAGAGGAAGGAAGTAAAGAAGAGGATGTGGGCTGAAACGTATATCACATTACATTGAGTGTGAACACTGGACTCCTGAATCAATCCACAGCCCCTGTATAATCACTGGCTGCAAATTCAACCGTAATATAGGCTGTGAATCAAATAAATTCGCCAGTGTAGTCACAGTCTTAAGTGTAGAGAGATGAAGCATCTACAGTTCTACTCTCATTAAGCCTCAGATGAACAAGTTGTACAGATGACGTATTTTCCACACCAATTCTATCTGATTGATTGATTTCCAGATACCATCCTAGGGCTGCAAATTCTATACCAGAATTTTTACTTAAGTACAAAACTTCAGACAAATACACAAAATATGGCTTCACAGGCTAAAAGGAGCAATGACAATCCTTTATCCAAAGTTGCAAAGTCAACATGATTTTACAGCATCTTGTGGAAAAAAGAGCTAATTAGGAGGGGGGGAACCCCTCCTCCCACACAAATACTCACATCCATCTAACAGAATGACTCACCATTGCAGTAAGCCAAGAAAACATTATATTGTGAGATGGCAGGGTGGCAGCTGATGTCTCTCAATGCAATCTGAGGCATGTGCTGCCTACTATGAAGCAAGTCCTACTAAATTCCCTCCCGGGTAAGTGGGTATAGGATTACAGCATAAAGAACTTTGTGTGTTTTGTTGCGCATGCACTTTGTTGAGTTAGACTTTTGTCAGAGGAGCCTGAAGTATAAAATGGGAGGCAAAATAACCAATAGAGTCAGGTGATATTTTTTTTCAGCTTTCAAAAAAATCTATTCGTTTATGAGTATTCACAATTCAACATAATATATTTACAAATGGCTTCATTTCAGTAGCATCATTTTTAAAAAGCTAGACCTTACGAATAGCACTAGTAGTGCTGCCACAATTTTTCTTTTATGCTGACTGTCAAGGAAAAAAAAAGCTAGCATATAAAGAAAAAGAATGTACAGTACAGACACAGAGGTCTAAAATATAGCTGCTGGAGATTTACACATAAGTAGCTAGTTTAAAAAATACAGACTATGCTCCATCAGGGGGGAAGGAGTTGAGTGTTCGAGACAGATATGGACAGGGAGAGAGAATAAAGGCCAAGAGGTTAAATATTTTTTTAAAAAAGTAGATGCTATTTCAGAAGTTCATATCATAAAGGATAAATTCGGGGTCTAAAAAGTAATGTTTGCTACCTAGCAGTGCAAAGTTTATCCCAGTTTTTAAAAATCTCAACGCAGTTTATACCAATAAACATTTGGATAATAATAAGGGGAAAAATCATACAGTGGCACTACATTCAAGGGCCACAAAAGAAGTTAGAATCAGACTTCTTATGTCAGAGGTAAGGTGGAGATTTTCTCACAGACACTCTTCACTGCCCCCACATATTTATTTTTAGCAGCTCTTCCCTCTCCAAGGTCACAGGGTGGAGACTGGGCAGGTAATTGTATGTCTTAGGGAGAACAATCTAATGAATTGGACAGCAGTCCATGATAGCGTATTTGCAGCAGAATGTGTCAGTCTTTAAGATGCCACTAAACTCCTCATGTATTGCAGAATGGGGTGGGGTGGGGTGGGAGGAATCAGGAGAATCTTTGGTCACAGAAATCTCAACTTTAGCCTATAACAATTGATG